GACAGTACTGTCTTAGGGACAGAGAAAATTAACTTAAGTTTCAAGTTACATCACATTAAAACCTGACCTGAGAAAAAGACCACAGGTTGCCTACATGCAAAATGCTGTGGCCTCATTTTCCAAAGCTCAGGGCAGCTGTAATTCCTAGGGAAGTCCATTGAAACTCATCACCTCTAGAAAAATAAGGCCCTGAAAGCTCTGAAGTAGTTATTATTCTCTCTCTGTACCTAAACTACATGTATAAACATAATAAAACTATTAATTTAGATAAACTATGAATGCTGAGAACCTAAGTTTTGGGTTGTGCCACTTCTCATGCAACTCTCTATAGAGATATACTTCAAATATAAATTTGTAAACTCAAATTAAAATGCAAAGAAACTAATAAAGTCAGGGACTTGTCAAATGAATGGGGTATCAGACTTGATCTTTGTCCAAGGCCTGTCCAGTGTAGCTCAAGTGGTAGGTTATAATGTGCAGTGATTATAGACTTGATTATACCGAGCCACTAAAGAGCAAGGAAAAGCTTGTTGCTGGAGGATTATAGCAGACATTCTGGCCATTAACAGTGAATTTCCATATGACTATTAATCTCTGTCACAACACTGAGGTTATGTTAATTTTTTATTTGTCTTTCAAGGAATTATGAACATGGTCCATTACATTTCCCAAAGCTGCAGGAACAACCTGTCTTTAGGAGAGCATTATAGTTCATAGCTGATTCAAGTCACCCGTGCTGTAAGAAGAAAAATGTATGTTCAGGCTTTGCCAAACAGCCAAAGCACGGCCCTGTGGAGAGGTGAAGCTCAAACTGGAAACAATAGGTACTTTCTGGAAGGCACCTTCTTGTTCACAGAAGGCCTCCTGGGCACCCAGATGAGTCAGAATTGCTGAATGACTACCTATACTCGTAGTATGGATGAAAGTGCAGTGGCATACTGATAAGGCAGTCTACAAAGTGGCACGGTCACTCCCCACTCAGAGATCCAACTAATGCCAATAGAAGAAAATGTGAAGGGAAAATAGAGGGTCCCTTCTTTCTCCTGCCCCCTAGTAATCATGGTACTGTTTGTAGTGCAGATCACAGACACTGTGTCAGCACAGACGCGAGGTTGTTTAGGACTTGCAGGTCTTGTAGGACTTGCTACTCCTGCCATTGCTCACTCACACAGGGCAGGAGGACGAGTGCCCCCAGGTTACCATGAATCCGTGTTACTAGAAGGCATATCCATTTCTGCAATGACAGAACGCTTATCCAGTAGCTGGAAGAGGCTCTAAAGCCATTTCATGGCTGCTAGTGAGTGATGGTGTCACCATGGGACAAAATGTTCCCTGTGAGAAAAAATGCTTGAATGTCACAAATTAGCTCTGTTGTGACAGTCCAATGTCAGTGCTTGAATCATCACACTATATACTTTAAAATAGCACAGGGATGGCCTGGTACATTATATTACTTAATAACAATTAAAAATAGAAAACCTTTCTAGAATTTACTTCTGCTTCTAGGATTCCACAGCTAAGTCTTAGGTCTAGAATGTTTAATTAGAAAACTGGAGTTTCACTGAAATTCGGTCACCACAATCATCAGTTCCATGAGTTTGAGATCACCATGAATAAATCTGTGTGAGAAAACTATGAAGAGATGCTGTCATCTACAGTTTGCCAATTCTCCTTTTGGATTTTCCTTCATTATAATAAGCATATCTAAAATCTGTTTATAGTTCTGCTGAACTAAAAATGGCAAAAAAAAAAGACAGAATTGTATCACTCTGTAAGCCTAACCTAGAAATCAAACCATTATATTATCATTACATCCCAACTGCTAAAACATGCTGTGGATACATACCTGTCCCATCATGGTCTCCTTATACTGTTTTTTCTGTGTTACTTTGATTGGAGGCAATTTTGTCACAGCTGACACCAAAAAATTCATTAGAATGTCCTCACAATTAGCCAGTTGGTCCACCATATTCTTTAGGCTGGCAGGCAGGTAATGAGTGTACAGGTAGTGATAATATCTGGAAACCAACAGCAGCATTATTAAATAAAACAAGTCACTGGGCTTTTGGGGACTACAAAGTCCAGGAGATTTCAATCTCAGTTGAGACACAAGTTTTATACTCAACTCTGGATATACCACTTCCTTTCTTCAGTCTCATCCTCCAACAAAAAGGGAGAACAAATCAGTGTCTCATCAAGACAGTAAATAGTGCTAATGGGGAAACAAAACATACACCTTTTTTGTAACTGGGTTGAAAGAAATAATGCAGACTTAAGTACCAAGGTAATGGAGGAGTAGGAGAGAGAGAGCACCACATTGCTATAATGGGATAGACAACACTGATGAATTCATCCTCCACCTCTTCTTTCAAAACTGTTCAGCTGGAGAGAACTCTATTAAACTGGCCTGCTACTGTCCTTATTCTTGAAATTATTCTCCCTTGGGCCTACATCATCCCCTCTGGCCTGTTTCCTCTTTTGCAGGGATGTGGACTAGATATTCCAGAATGTGCCAACTTTCTCCTACAATTTAGAGAGGCCTTTGGTCTGCTGAAGTCCTAGTAACGGTCGTTTTCTCCAATATGCCGCAATATGCTGATCTGTGACGTGTCCGCTCTGCTGCAGTTCTAGAGTAGCCAGAAGACTTTGCAGTCTGCAGCTGTCAGCCAACACATACCCAGAGCTGGTCTGGAAGTAACCTCCCTTTTGCTGTGCTACAGGCCATTCAGCCGAGCAGCTTAATGAATTCGGGAACTCTTTGAAGTGTGTAATTCCTGATGTTAAAAAGAGCAGTCCGACTGCCTCAAAATACAAGTGACTTCAAAGAGACCCAACAAGCGCAATAATGATTACCAGATCCCCAGAGCTAAACCAAGAACTTAAATTATTACCCCATAAAAAGTAGACCCATTTATTATCTTTTCAGTTTTTCCCCTCCCCGGAAGAATGTTCTTCACCCCCCTACCCCTTACTGTTTTGTTTCATACAGAAGGAGGACAGCAGATGCTTTGGGCTCTTACTTGTGGTAAATAGCAGCTCCTGTCAATACCATGGAATAGTCATTAGTCCATTTGGAGGTATACCCCCACCTCTCCTTAGTGTTGTCCCAGAAGTGACTGCGAGCAGGGTATCCTACAATCCTCTCTGGAAAACTCTGCCAAACCGTAAAGGCAAAATCCACCTGCGGACAAAGGCACAGGCCAAATGAATATCGAAACTGTTTCAACAAATGTCAACAAAACAAAATATTACCTTCGCACCAATTCGTAATTCAAAATCTTGGAACTGCTGCAAAACATTAATTCTACATATTCATCAGTAAATTAAACTGACTGCTTGACATTTTGCCCTATAATTATGCACATTTTAATGGTTCCTGTTAAAGGGAGCATCACAGCATTACATTAACATTTTCAAGCTTGCCCTTTACATATCAAACCTTTTCAAGTTACAGAAAGAATGGGTGTAGGTGCATGCATTTATCCTTAGATGCAATATAGAGTGGTAAAAGCTATGTGGTAAACTGAACCTTTTCCACATCTTTGTGCATCTCACCTACCATTTCATTTCATTTTCTATTTTCCATCCATTTGGAGCCCTTGAGGTACCTGCAGGTCAGACTTTTAAGACTGTCTATACAATCAAGGGGGTTAAACGTATAGCTTAATAAAGAGGAAGATAAGATTCCTATGTAGTTAAATGGCTTTAGGAGCCTATACTTTAAGAAAATTTTTGATACTGTATGAGCCACAAGAAGATATCAAATGCTGCCAATAGTGCTTTTTTATTTTATTGTCTTACTGTAACTATTTTAACAATTCAAATCTCTGAGAACTGAAAAGGTGACAGGACATTGCTAATCCAAGAGCCCACCAAACAAATCCTGGTGATACTTGAAAAGGGAGGATTGGGGTAGTTTGCAGAAAGCTCGTCAGCACTAGACTGGAAAGGTCTGGTAAAAATACATATGGAAAGATTTTTATCACTGTAAAGTTAGTTCATAGTGCCTTCACTTCAGCTTCGGTTGTGGAGCTCAAGCTAGACTGAAATTTTAAAAAGAGGTAAAGACAATTCTAATTGTCCTGAGTGGGACAATTAGAAAACCCAAAGAAAACAAACCCAAGAAAAGGAAGGGTTTGTTTCTGCACTGCACATCAAGTTCCTCCAGTACCAGAGGGACCTAAAACTTTGCTAAAAATGCTTGAAAAACCTTCCGAGAAGCCAGCCAAAGTCAGGGGTGTAGAGGTTAGATAAAGAATAGCTGCCCTGAGAACAGTCACACTTTGTGTGATTACTGTCAGACTTCTCTCGTTTACAAGTGTTTTTATGAAACAGAAGAGTCACACATGTATTGGAACACAAAGTTAGGGACTGGTTATTTTCTTTCAAGTTGTTTCAAGGAATCTGAGGCCAGCTAGAAAGACAATGTGCACAAACCCGTTACCGTTGTGATAGTTCTGATCTCATCCAAATCAATACCACATGAAAGAACCAAAGGGTTTTTTTTCCCCCTGTAAAGGCCTTTCCCATAAAACGTGTCATCTGTTTTCTTTAGAGAAGCCTGAGAATCTCAAACTTAAATAAATAATAATGCAGCTGCACTCAGTGCCCTCACTTGTGCTTTCAAGTATCCGTCCTTGTACCAGGGAGATGCACTAAAGCAACCACCCTAAGAGAAAACTCCCTTTATTAAAAGAAACCCCTAGTCCTCATCCTATATAATTTTCAGCAGCATTGCCACTCAGCTGGCCAGCAGGAAAAGCCAACCAGGCTGCCAGTTTCTTAAACCCCTGTATCACTTCTGGCCCGTGCTGATTTCTAATTACTTCCCACACAAACACCCCTCTGCGTGTGTGACACAGCTCTTCTCACAAGAGCAATTATGCGTCGTTCCGTTGTGAACAGAAAACCTTTACTATGCTAGAGCCGGACAGAGCAGAGGATGTGCCTGGTGACCACTCCTCCCAACTGGAATGGGATTGTGTTTGACCACGTTTCTGAATTGCCTTCTCTGGGCCCTGAAGCTGTGCCACAACAACCACCCATGAGCAGCCACCTTCAAGGGAAGGTTCACACCATGTGTTTCATGTCACTGTTTCAATGTGCTGTTTCTTTGTGTAAGCTGTTATGATGGGGAAAGTGAAGCAATAGAAAGTCCTGTTCTCCACAGAGAGCCACCAAAGAGAGCTGCTGACCCTGGCACTCTGGCAGAGGCATGCTGAAGCTGCAAGGCGGGTGCTAGCAAGAGCCGGCCAGCTGGTTTTCTCTGCAGCACAGGGGTCGTGGGGCTCACAGAGCCAACACCCACGGTGCAAACATGCAGTATTGGCTGTAAGCTGCTCACAGGAGGGAAGAAGCCACAAAGAAATGTGTATGTTGTCTCACACAACAACAAATATTTTCATTTCAGAATGTTTAGGGTAAAACACAGCCAAGCCCAATGAGAAACACTATTTATTTCATATGTGTTCCAGAAGCCTGAATGACTCCAAAGTTTGGATGATGACTAAACAGCAGGCAAAACAAACCAAAGCCCCAAATCCTCATGGAATCCACAGGCTGGATTGCTGTAACTACCACTTCAGTGCAATGAAGTCCCTGAGAGGTCTTACCATGGCCCTCAGGGCAGCTGAGACAGGACCCTTCATCCTGAGCAAGGGGGCTTTTTTGGCTGTACAGGCCTTTGCACACAAGTGCTTTGGTAGCAGCTGTATTCTTCGTCATCCAGCACAAACTACCAAGGTGTAATCTTGGTATGAAACAACTACTTCTTCCATCTGAGCAGTAGAAGAGGGCTACCGTGGCTCCTTCTGGAGCAGTCTAACCACTGCACAACAAATCCGTGCTGGGGAGAAGAGTGGTTGCAATCTCATCCATTTAGAACAAATTCAGTGACATTTTATGGTATATAACAATGACTAGTGACTAATGTTAGGCATTTCTTCACTGATGTATAAGCAGTGGTAGCATCAGTGAAAGGTCCACATCACTGAGAAAAAAGCATTTTTATAAAGGTGAAGTGGGGAGAATGGAATGGCCATGAACATGGGGGAAAAAAGGGAAAACAAAAGAAGATCGAGTTTTTCAAGCTATTCCCTGGCTGTCATTAATAATGTATTTCCCAAATACTGCACTCTATATAAACTGTCATCAGTTTCCCCTGTGGTTTTCAGGAAGAGGGTCCAGAAATCAATACTCATCCCAGTTATAAAAATTGGTTTTCTACAGTATTTTTCTTTTCTTAGCACTATCTTGCTCTTAACACAAACACTCTAACACCTAAACTATCTCCAATTTTATGGGGCAACACAATGGTGAGAGCATTCCTCGGTGAAATCCTGCATTAGGGTGGCAACGCTGTCTTTTGGATCGACAGCAGTCCCCTGCTGCTGACACCCCTTCTTTCCCT